CGCGCTGCCCCCGGCGCCGAGGCCAGTTCTGCAGTTGAGCGCGTGCGGCCGCGAGGCCGGCCCGGCCCCCGAGGCCGCTCGGCCGCGACGGACCAGCGTGCGCGGAGCCTCCTCCGCTCGGGCGCACTGGGCGCCGCCACTCCGCTGCCGTCGGCTGCCGACGGCCGGCTCGGGCCTCGAACGCGCGTCCTCAGAAGCCGCCCGAGGCCTCGCCCGCGCGCCCGCGGCCTCCTCGCGACCGAGGCTCTCTCTTCTTTGCTCCAGATGGTGTGGTCGCTCGGTTCTCCCAGCGCCTGGCGGAGTTTCGGACGTGGTTAAGAGCCAACTGGCTGAGGTTCAATGCAGACAAGACGGCTGTGATGCTGGTAGGCAGGGGCGCGCCTGGAGATCGAGGGAGGAGGGACAGTCCGGACCCCCTCGAGGCGTCGCAGCCCGGTCGCCCTGTGGGCTCCGGACTGCCGGCAGGCGGGTGAGATGGAGTCGCGGGCCGGCCCGCAAGGACCGTCACACGCCCGTTTGAGCTTTTCTGATGAGGGGCCGCTGGGTACCAGTCTATGTAGAAATCGCGGACAGGCCCTGTCAGTGGCTCAGGGTGGCATTCTTGATAATCGCAATAAAAAGACAGACTAACAAAAAGATGACGCTGATTGTCGCCTAGCTTGGGGCTTCCAGAGGCAAGCAATAGTGCTTTCCAACCTGCACTCTGCCTACTAAAGTAAAGGTGAACTCAGTTGATCTAAAATGCCATTTTTTAAAAAAGGTTCAATGTTTCGGTCTTTAGGTGTTTTCAACCAAATTAGTAACCGTCCATAAAAATTTACCTCCACATCATGGAGATACAGTGTGAGCTGTCACTTTTAAATAAACATTTTAGGAAATAGTTTACAAAATAACCTCAAAAGAGACTCGTGGATACATAGCTGTAGAAACTGTAGGGTTTCGGATGTGTCGTGTTCTAGTTCAGTAAACTAATCCCAGAGTCTAAATTGTTACAAGTACCGTATTTTTGGTGCATTCTGAAAGGTATCTTTTTGAGTTGCAGAGCATAGTACAGATATGTATTGGATTTGAATCGGGTGTTGGTACTGAATAAAAGGTTATATTTCTTAGGTATATGTAAATTGCCAAAAAAGTTTGTTTATTGGTTAGTTTAAGGTACTGATTGAAGTAAAATTGTGACCCGAAATGCTTTTAACAGCAAAATAACAACTCTGGAGGTTTGTGTGTGTGTGTATGTGTGGATGCCTTATAGTTGCTATGGAATTGTTTAACAACTTTTGAATGGAGGATTCAGTAAATTTGTTAAAAATAATTACTCAATATAATAGCAGCTTTGAGCAGCTTAATTAGTCAAAATTAATGTTTTCCTGAAAACAAGGAGGCCTTTAGGTGGGGAACAGGAGCTTAAGAGGCATTTACTCAGGCTTTGTATAGTCATTTTTTGGGGGGGAGGGGGGACATTAACCACAAACATCACATAAAATTAGAATTAACCACAGTTTCGTTTAAACATTTTACTGCAAAATTCTAACAGAACTACCATCTTGGAAATTACATTAATAAATAACATACAGTGTAATAGTTTTAAACAGTCCTAGTTAATGGTGGAGTTTCTCATACCTTTAGCTCTGTCTGACCTGTTTTCAGCTCTTCTGGTATCAACAGGCTTAAAGATATATACGTATATTTTTTTGTTAACCCAAAGTATAAATATTGACTGTTTGCATTTGGATACAGATATCTGTTAAATTAATGCAAAGTGCTGAAGAACTAAGGGCAATGGATGAACGTAATCAGGAGGTAGATTCTGGCTTAATAAAAGGGAGAACGTTCCAAACATTTGAACTTTATTTGAAGAGAGCAACTTCATGAGATGTAGGGAGTCACTGGAGGAGTTTAAACGGAAGCAGAAAAGCCTGGTAGTAGAAGCATACTGAGGGATTTCTATCTTAACTGGGTAGAGAGTAGTCAGAGACTCCTAAGGTCCTATCCAACACTCAGGCTCTGAGAGTAATGAATAGATACATTTTACATTTTTGAGACTGAAGAGGGTAAGCAAGAGTTTTGAGAAAAACTTTTCATTCCTTAAGGTGGTCCTGAAACTGTAAAGATAAGTATATTACTAGAATAAAATGACAGTGGAAGTGTATTCAGCAGTGGTGTTGCCTATGAATTACAGAATTAGAGCTGCTTCTCACCTTTATAACATCTGAACCTAAAAAACCCCCAACCAAGCTCACATTTATAAAAAGGAGGAGAAAAATGTAGAGAGAATTTCTTTCACTCAATGATAATGCCATTTCAAGTTAGTAATGTTGATATACAATATTAATAAACTTAAAAGCCATTTAACAGTAAGGTGGATACCCATTCAAAAATGTCTCAGACCTGGATTTTTCTGACACTTCCAGAATTCATTTAGGCTTACAGGGCCATGATGCCCTGCTCTTTATCACAGTTGGGATTTTTGTTGGTGGTTTAACTTAAGTATCAGAGACTCAATGTACTCCAGCAAGCAAGTTATTCTTGTATTTTGTGTTTTAACAACACTTCCTAATTTTCCTTTTGGTAGCCAGCTAGATTCCAAAAATTAGCTTTGGATTTTAGCGGAAAATCTTCCTCCATCCCCATGGTATAAAGCCTGAGTCTCTACCTCTAGGCTCCTTATGGTTTTTATCTGTACCCACAGTGTATGTCCGTTGTTCTTTTCCTTCAGATCGCTTCATCAAGTGTATAAAGTGAAAACTATTTGAATATGAACTGATATTTTTTAAAAGTCATTTTTATTCCAAGTCCAAAGGATTAACAGTCAACAGAGTAACTCTTAGAAACTATATGCCTATGCTAAAATTTTATTCCCCCAAGGAATCTTGAAAACTTATGAGTTTTTTTTAAAAAGTAAAATGAAAATACTGTACAGTACAGTTAATGGTAAAAATTGTTTGTAGATTTGGGAACCTTAAAGTTTTCCTTTCTCTTCTTTCCCTTGCTTTTCTTTCAGTAGAAAATGTGCATCAGATGTTTATGTTTAATTGGTTTACAGACTGTCTGTGGACTCTTTTCCTGTCAAATTACCAGGTAATGACCTTTCGCTTAGCAGCTACTTCATATATCTGTAAATGCAGTTTATTCATGCACAAATTATTATTGGACATAGCAGTTTCAAGTTACTGTTGAATTTTGGAAACAGGAAAGTGCTTGATAGTCTAGAATTTTAGGGAAATACAAATATATAATTTAAGAAAACAGCCCCTATATTGGGTTATAAGTTAGGGACGAACTTTAGGAAAAACTGTATATATACACAATTATGCAATATATCGTAGTGCTGACTCACTTTACTCGCAGGGAATGAATAATTCTCCTATTTAACTGGTTGGTTTTGGTAGTCACTTTCGAAAACTGCATTAAGAGGATCCCTCGGAGATTTGAAAAAACAGTCTTGAAATTCCTGGCTTAGTAAAAGATATTACTGCCCGTTTTAATATCACCTTTGTGTTACCCAGTATCTGCCTTAGTGATGGAAGCGAAACGTGCCGGTTACTTTGAAATCATTGGCTCTGGCGAGCATCAGAACTGCATCAGAGCCAATTGGCAGCTCGAGGTCAGCACATTAAAATAAACTTTCAAATTACAGGCATTTCAGGCGTGGCAGATAAGTGGGTTCTCCCTTTACGCCGTCAAGTGGCGATTATTCATATCCATGGAAGAGCAGATTTTCGGGATCTTACATTTTTGAGCTTCGTCTAATTGCACAGAATTCATCGGGGCGCTGCGGGACGGGGGGAGAGGCCGGTGCCCCAAGAGGGGCAGCCTGCCTGTCACGATCCACTCGTCTTCGCTCCTGCCCGAACGGTTCTGGCAGGTGGGGCGATTCGGTTTCCGTCGCGCACCCGCCGGGAGCGACCTGTCCAGGCTTCGCGCGTTCAAAGCTCCGCTCCTGGCGCTGTCGCATCGCAGCCCTGGCCGCTGCGCCCCACGCGACCTGAGTGAAGAACCCTTCGGCTGTGCTCCCGGCGCGCGTGCCAGACGGGGCCCCTGGGCGCTGCTCCGCGCCTCGCCGCGCGCCGCACCCCTCCTTCCCCGCCCGAGTCGCGGGCCGCAGCCCCGCCGCCTCCCCCGTCCCGCCTTGGCTCCGCCCCCTCC